CCCCAGGCATCAGGCTCCCCATCTGGTTCCCAGCTGTGGCTCAGCTAGGTATGATGCAAGCTGCTAGTGTCCACCTTCAGAAGCCCATGATAGCCATAAGAGAACCTTGTAATGACGTCTAGAAATAAAGGGTGAATTCTTATTCCACTAATTGCATAGGTACAATTCCATTTCTGTAACACAATTTCATCTTACCCTAAAGACAAAAATCACAGAAAGGGCAAAGAGGACCTCGTTTGCCAATGCATTATTTTTCAAGGGCTCAAACTGCAGAATAGGAACTCACTTAGGTGCCCTTAGGAGTGAAATAGGATTTGGACCAAAGTCTGAAATGAAGTATTCTTTATCCATTCCTGAAAAGGTCCAAAGCATCAAGGTCAAACAAACAAAGGTCAAGTTGCACCAAGGTAATCTGAGGTTAGATATGAGGAGAAACTGTCTCACAACGTGGGGAGAGCAGCATTGGAACAAGCTACCCAGAGAGGTGGTGGAATGTCCAGCCTTAGATGATTTTAAGATCTGGGCAGACAAAGCCTTGGCTGGGATGAGATATTTGGGTTGTCCTACTTTGAGCAGAGAGTTGTAGTAGAAGATGTCCTGAGGTCCTTTTCAAACATCATTGTGTATATTTTAGGAAAAGGTATTAACACAGTAGGGAGCAGAGATACACACTCCCTGCCACACATGCACACAAGCACACACAAGCTTGGAAAGGGAAATACATATGGATTCAGAATCTACATCAGCATTCTCTTGTGCTGAATTCAGTTGTGCTAAGGTAATAGGATTAGAAATGTGAAAAAAAATAGAATATGGGTGTTGACTTAATGTAATAAAATATTCATGCTCAGAATGACACGTGATAATTTTACGAGAGACTTAAAAACATAGATAGGAATACAGAGGGAGAGGTGGTTGCAAATTAAAATTATGTACAGAGATAAGGAGATGCATGAAACTATTTATTAATTATTTCTCAGTTGTTGTTTTTTGTTTTAACTGTAGTTTAGCTGTGTATACACAGAAGAGGCTTATTTAAAAGTCATTAACCTACCTATGGTCTTTCTCAAAGCATCTTTCACATCCTTGTTCCTGAAGCTGTAGATGAAGGGATTCAACATGGGGATGACAAGAGTATAGAACATAGACACCACCTTATTCAGACGTGGAGAAGACCGAAAACCTGGTTGGGTATACATAAAGGAAAGAGTCCCAAAAAATAAAGCCACAGCTACCATGTGGGAGGAGCAGGTGGATAAGGTCTTGAGCCTGCCCTTGGTTGAGCGAATCCTGAAAATGGCATAGGTGATGTAGGCGTAGGAGATGAGGATGATTCCTGATGTGCTCACGATGATGAGGCCACACAAAACAAACAGCACCAGTTCATTGATGTGCATATCTGAGGTGCAGGACAGGTTTAGCAAGGGGGGAACATCACAGAAGAAATGGTTGATCTCTTTAGGCCCACAGTAACTGAGTGCAAAGGTGAAGCTGGTTTGCACTAGAGAATTTGTGCTGCCACCTATATAGGAGCCCACGATGAGCTGAACGCAGACCTTTTTGGACATGGTGACAGAATAGAGGAGTGGATTGCAGATGGCTATGTATCGATCATATGCCATTGCTGCCAGGATGAATGTTTCTGTGCTGCCAAAGAGAGAAAAAAAGAACAACTGTGCAGCACATCCATTGTAGGAAATGGTTTTGCTGCCTTGTAGGAAGGTGGCCATGGCTTTGGGGGCAATGGTTGAGGAGTAGCAGAGGTCTAGGAGTGACAGGTTCATGAGGAAGAAATACATGGGGGTGTGAAGGCGAGGGTCGATTCGAATGATGAGAACCATGATAGTGTTTCCTAGGACAGTAGCTATGTGAATCACAAGGAACAACACAAAAGGCAGCACCTGAGTCTCAGGTCCTTTCCCGAATCCCAGCAGGATGAATTCTGTCACAGTTGTGTGGTTCACCTCTCCTGTAGACTGCATAGCTCATCTCTTCTGTTTGGGGAAACAAAGGATAAGGATGAAGGGGAAAGTAAAGTAGCTAAACAGATTGCAGAATGCTTAACATTGTGACAGAGCCCTTCAAAAGTTACTTAATCCTCAGCTTAATGAATCTACAGCAAGTCTGTTGAAATTCTGAGTTTTCTAGAATGAAGCTATTTCGACATATAATTTCTCCATATATTAAAAATTGGTAAAAGTGAGTTGGGATAACATTAGCACAATCTTCCAGTGTGTCCTGCAATTCACAGGGCTCCTTTTGGAATGAAGTGTTATTCAGACTTCTTAGGTGTGGTGGTATGAGGCTGTCAGACCGTACATGAATATATCTTAAACTGTGTGCAACACCTGGATGCAGGGTGACTATATTCAAGCTCTAAACCCTATATCTTTATATGAACTAGAGAATATTTCTATCTATGGATGGCAGGATGAACAAACACTCAAAAATACTCAAAAGAATGAGTCCACCTGTTCACCAGATGGCAGCTTAGGAACCATGGCGCACATACTGTAGCCAAACACTGAATTGGCTGCATTCAAGACTTACATCCATGGAATCTCAACTCAGTATTAGTGAAATGAATGGCAGTTGGAACTAAGAAGATTTTGAAACTCTTGCCTACCTGCATTTTGAGGTACTTAAGTGCTTTGAAAAATGTGACCCAAACTCCTTTGGTGCCTCTGAAAACACCAACCTCATGTAAGCAGAAGGAAAGGACTGGGTTTTAAAGACTGGCCAATAAGTTCACTCCTATTACTTGCTTTTCTACATTCACAGAGACATGCACAATATGCCTCATCTTTTTGTTGTTGGGAATTCCAGCAATTTTTTAACAGAATATTGGGTTTATTATGAAATAAAAATATTCAGATATATTGCTGGCTTTCCAAAGCGAAGGACATGGATAGATACATACATAAAGGCATAATACCCATACAAAAACAAAATTACATTAACTTAAGAATGTTGTACTGAGGAAGAAAACTAGTTTTGTTTTCAATATTATGAAGTGTTTGGATGAGAAAAGTTACCTTTTCAATGAAAGGTAAGAATTTAAGTCAAAAAGGGTATGAACAGCTGTATTACCAGGATATAAAAATGCAAAAAGTAGCCAGGGAGAGACAGCATACACCAGTTCACCAGAAGCCTTCTGGTATGGAATACAGAAGGTGAATGAAATGTCTTCTGTATTTCATCAACATTTTTCTCATTCCAAAACACTCTCAATAAAACCTTCAAGTTACTATCCGAAAGGTACCTGAAATGAGACTTACCCTGGCTTCATTCGACTCAGTTTCTTTTGGAGCCTTCTGAAACCCCCTCAGATGGTCTTGTATCCAAGGGTTGGCACCTTGCACTGCCACCTACTCCAAGGACTGGGGTAGTAAATTTGCTGTAACATTGCTAAATGACCTAGGATCTGAGATTATTTTCTGCCAAACTCAAATGCTGGGACTGTTATAACCAGTATATTGAAGGGAATGGTTTTAAATCTGTCCAAGTGGCAGAAGTTGTGTAAGGGGAGGAGAGTGCTACTTCCCTTTGTCACAAAGGGTCTTGAGCTCTCTGGAGGAAAGGTGTTATGTGAGCCCTCAGGACTGCAGTGAGGTTCTTCCTGGTGACAAAGATGCATTTTCAGTCCAAGCCCTGTTGACCTGTCCAGGAGAGACCTAGAGAGGCACTAGATAGAAGTCCCTGGATGAATGCAGTGAAAATGTTCTCTCATTTAGATCAGCAGCAGTTAGACAAAGCCAGTGTTAATGTCCTCCTGGGGATACTGTTCCTTCTCCTCTACTCTTCCTCTGTTTGTCCTGCCTGACCCTGAGGCTGTGAGCGCTCTGGGACATGGACTGGAGAAGGATGTGAGGAGTCCAATGTATGTGTTACGGTAGAACAACAGCATAGTGGAGTGGGCTTTGGGCCATTCTTCATCATGTCCTGGAAGTAGATGAACTGGATCCATTTACAGTCATGTTCCTTGTTTGGGCTGTTTTCTGGCTGGCAGAGGCCCTCACTTATAGTTTCACTCCCTTTTTCAGAGGAAATCTCCAATCCTCAAAATTTCAGGGCCAGTCCCACAAGCAGGCAGCTCTGTCAGTCTGCATGTCCTGAGGCACCCTGCTGATATTGCCCACTGTACAGAAGAGGAGATACTTCTCATCCCAAGACTGAGAGCAAAACCTGTGTGTCCCCAGGGTCTCTCTTTCTCAGCAAAATGCTGCTGGAGGAGAGATAGCTGGGGCCAATGAAGAAAGGGCTAAAAAAAGCAGAGATCTTAGAGGGGGAAAGCAAGGCTGGGAGTGGGCAATGGGTAGGAGGGGAAGAGGTCAGGCCTGAACAGCAAAGGAAGCAGAGAGGCATTCTGGGTATTGTAAGAAAAGAGACCATAGGCTGATCCTGAACTCTATCCTTGGTGTCCCCTGCCACAGCTCTCAGCAGTTTCCCTGCCCAGTTACCACTTGTCACTCAGGGTGACAACATTTGCGGTTACAGCTCTGGCAACACTCAAAACAGACTGATAAGACGAAGTGTTGTCCAAGTGTAATGCATAAGCAGACACATCTCAACATCCAGGCAGATGGGCTTTAGGCTCATCCACAGGCAATGTGAGGGAATCCCATAGCTTAGGCTGGCCCAGAGTGTGTAGGAGCTGAGGAATTCTGGAGTCAGCAGATAGTTAATAATGTTCATGCTGAAGTGGATCAAGTGATGGGATGAATTGTGGCCAGACTAGAGGCCCTTCTTGGTGGAAAAATGGAAAACACTGACCTATGAACTCTATGATGTGGGACAAAATGTGTCATGGATATTTGTATGAACACAAACCAAAGTGGTTTGAATGTTGATGAGATACAGTTTGTGTAAATGGGAGAGTAGACAAGAGTATGGGTGGGAAGGTCCATGGTGAGCAACCCAGTTAGGTCTGTGTTCCCTGACAGCTTGTGAATTTTATACTCAGGTCTGTTGGGAAAACAAAAGATTTCTCCTGCTTATTTTGCACTGGTTGCCGCAGCAGGAGCGTGCTGTAATCAGACGGTATTGTGTCACAATGAGTATTTTATG